GTTATCTGGTGGCATCCCTGCCTCTCCATAAGCTTATCCCTTTCAAGATTGACTCAATAGTAGGCAATCTGATTGGAAGTCTCAAATCTTAGGTTTAGCTTGCCCTTTTGACCGTTTGGGTCTTGGTGGCCCAAGGACAGAACATCTTTCAAGATCATCTTGGTGCTTTGGAAAGCTCCTTCCAGAAGCATTTGATGGATAATGCTTATAAATGAATGGCTTTTAGAGGCCACGAAAAAGATCATTTTCTGAGGAACTGTACACTGGGACAAAACTTTAAAATGAAACTGTAAACATAAAATTGCTTATTGTGACAGCTTACTATTAATCTTCGTCAGTAGCCTGCGTTCTCTTTGCAGAGTATCTGTTGTTCATCAAGAGATTGTACAATCCTAAATTCAAAGCGAGTCCTTTCCCTGCAGTTTCATGCTGCCGGCTTGGTATTATGAATTGATGAAATGCTAGGGTGATCTTTTTCAATCAGAGGTATTTGTGGTTATAGTAACACCACTTTCAGGAAAGGCATACAAATTAGAAAACGAGAGTAGGATTTATTTTCACGGCACTTTGCAGATACGGCACCCTCACAAAGAAAAGCTAGTAGAGAGAAAAAATGTAGAGGGAGATTACCTCCTTTTAGTAAAAGTTGATCAATAAAAAGAGTCAAGGTGTTATTTAGTACAGTGTGTTAGATACATTTGATTTTTAGAAGGTATTATCAAACAACCTGAAAGTAAAATGCAACGCTACCAAAACTTCCCATTGACCACTAGGCATAAAGCCTGACATTCAGAAAGATGCTGTTTCTTCTCTCCCATGCAGTCACTTACATCTCCAACTTTGAAGTGAGTTAACTTGTAATACCTTAAGTAAAGAATCAAATGACAGTACAGACAAGCAAAAAGCTGATAAAGCTTTACAAGCTCTTTAGAGTTTTGTCCCAATGTATATGACATAAGTATTCTTTCTTCTGTGATGCTAGGTGGTGTTCAGGCTTGAGAATTTTATCCAAAATTGTCATCAGATTTTTATTTAGGACTGTAGCATAAGTAAAGGACAGGAAAAATAAGTGCTAGCTTCACTCTGTCTGGTTTCGGTGATTTCACATGCTCCTTTGGACTCTGTGGTTGCATGTGAGAGTCTGAGTAGCATCTAAAATCTGAACTACAAAGATATGAAAGAGTTGTTTGACGTTCTCCTGGGCAGTAAGGAAATTAGTACTAGAATTAGTAAGGAAATTCCCATTCTGAATTGCAGTGGTTTTCTGAAAAAGACATTTGGAAGTCCCATGGAATAAAACGCCTCTCCCGAGGTGGTGAATTAGCATTCTTTTCACAAAATTTCCGTTTTCCACTTTTTTCAGGTTAATGATAAAAGGTATCCTCAGGCCAAACTGCTTTTGGGACAGATGGGGGCATTACATCCCGCCAATCGGCTAGCAGCTTATATCACAGGCAGGCTGCGACCCACAGTACTTGATATCTCAACCCTCAGTACTGTGATCAACAAGGTAGCATCCAATGCTAAAGCAGCTGCTTCTGGGACACCATCAGTCCAGGTGCCCACAACATCAACACCCAAAACTACATCTTCCACCAGCACTACTTCAACCCCCACTGTGACGACTCTGAAAACTCATGTCCCAGCACAGAGACAGATAGGTAGGTTTGAACTTATTACTGTGTTTTAAATTGCGTGAAGCTGAAGTAAAAAGTGAAGTGTACAGCATTGCTGTTGATTTCTGTGCAGCAGTGCATGCTGCCTTTGGCTGCATTGCCTACCTAAACTGCCTCAGCAGTAAATACCTCTTTGAAGCAGAAAGTTTTATTTTGACTTCAGAATAAGGTTGCAGATGCTGACTGTGAGTTATTTTATTAATACTACTAGAGCACGTTTTCAAGAGACAAGGAAGAGTGGATGGAGATATGCTGAATGTTAAGCTTGGATTCTTATTTTGCGAGTTTTCTTACCGTGATTTTTAAATTATTTTTCATCAAACATCATCTTAACTTTAAATGAGTAAAGGATCACTCTAACCTGTGGTTCCTCGATGTTAGTTTTTCTGATGATGTTGCACTTACAGTTGCAATTCTTGTGACCAGCAAAGATGCACGAGGCAGCAGCGAAAGACAAGATGGTCCAAATCTGGATTAGCAAAACAACTGGTGTGTGCAGCCAATAACCACACTGACCTGTAGTCTCATCGTATTTCACAAGCTAAACCGGGTTGGACTTAGCCCTCTGAGTGGAAAAAAAAGATTTGGAAGAAGCATGTGGTACTTGTGCTTGAGTTGGTACTGAAGTGGTTACCTCAGCATGGCAAGAGAGGAAGTTGCCTTTATTGTATTTTGCATGAGTTTAAAAAAAAAAAAAAAAGAAAAAAGTAGTCCCCATCCACATAGGCCACGTGTTAATTACAGATCTGAAGAAGCTTTGCAAGAGAAAAGGATGTTACCTGTGTCCTGGCAAAACTTTAATTTCTGATGGATTGTTTTGTTTCTTTCTGCCTAAATTTTAATTGTCGTGTAAAATGGGTGTGTTGTTTTTTCTTGTCCTGTAATAAAACTTCTTGCATTTTGTGTTTATGCAATAATGAAGAGCTGGCTGCATTTTATTGATGGGTGAAGAAATTGTTGCATACGTGACTAAAGTGTTTGGGCATACTCCGTGTTAAAGAAGCTACATCCATAAATAACTAGAGTATTTAAGTTGGGCTTGCTCCGTGATTTCTGTGCCTTTGGTGCTCATTTGTAGGCTTCTAGACTGATGTAGATGCAGTATACTGGTCCCTTGGAGAACAAGGGATGAGGGAAAGGATGCTCCCACTAATGATTACTTCCCGTTGATTAAATTTGTCCTATCCAGTCCTCACTGCAATGAGAAGGGGACGTGGCAAATCCTGCCTCCCTCCCACCCTTTTCCTCCATGGCTGTGTAAGATGTGGATACAGTAGAAGGGGGATGAAAACCAAGAAGCTGAGGAAAGAGGAAGATCACACAAGCTGTTACAGGAAGAATTTGAGGTTTAGAAAATACTTTGAGCCCATTATTTCACTTAGGTGTTTGTTTTCCTGTACTGTAATTAGAATTAGTTCATAGTTTCACAATAAAGAACAGTCCCTCAAGACCTGATTTGCTTGTGTGGCCAGGAAGAAATGGAACAGAAAGCTATAGAAGTGGAATAAAGCAGACATGTTTGCAATATGTAAGGCATATTCAGGACTGCCATAAAGGTTTCAATTTAATTACAGGATACAAAGAGAATGGAAGCTCAGGTTCATGCTGCAATTACAGTCGTAGCACCTCGTGAAAAGCAAAGAGGAAATCTATTAAAATTTTGACCTGCAGGTTTTTATTTGCAGCTGCACGACCCTCACCTGGTGGCGTATTCACACAGTTTGTGATGAACAAAGCTGGAGCTCTGCAGCAGAAGATTCCTGGAGTGAGCGCACGCCAGCCTGTGTCAGGGCCACAGAGGTTCAGTATCAAGCCTACCCCAGTAATGGTTGTCGCTCCCGTGGTTCCCTCAAGGCCATCCCCAGCTCAGTGCACAGTCTCACCTGGGGCCACTACAGCCACCACCGCTTCTCCAGTTACTGTGGAAAGCACCAGTGTGGCAGCATCTACTGTGACCACTCCTAGCCAAACAAGAGCTAATGAACCTGCCTGCCCTCCTGCAGATAAAGTCACAGCTGCTCCTGCAACGCCTGCAGTTGGCGCCTGTCCTGCTCCCTCATCCACTACTCCTCTTGCCACTGTGAACATAACAAAAGCTACAGGAATTGTTGCACCAGTAGCAACCACATCACTCCCTAAAACTGCAGTAACAACACCAACTTGTTCCGTTGTCACAACATCCACTTCTACGGTTGTACTGACAACAACTGCAACAGCTACATCTGTGGTGACCACACCAGCTTCCTCTGCTCTCTCTGTCCCAATTATACTGTCAGGAGTTAATTCAGGTCCTTCACTGAATCCGAAAAGAGGTAAGGCTTAGGTGCTTGGGGCTATTACTGCAAACACTCTTTTTAAAAAAAAATTCTGCTTCCTTTGTAGCTGCAATACAGTCCGCAACTGTAGAACCCGATTTAAATACAGATTTACTTGCCTCAGCCCTCTTTCCAGAGTAGGATAAGAAATGCAGTCTGTTATGTTGCTTGTTTTATTCCAGGCTGAGCCAGTAGAGGAGGGAAAAAAGTGTAGCTATCTGGTCAGTGACCCCTATGAAATGAGCTGGAAGTCTCACATCAGTTCTGGGTCCGTAAAAACATATAGCACAGTTACTGCTGTGACTGCTAGAATTTCACAGTATGGAGTCCAAGAAGTAGGTATGAAATTACTCTCTTGTCATTAACGTGGAAGTCATCTGAGTCACAGTTGAGAAATGCTGACAGAACTGCATAGAAAAGACTGTTCTGGCCTGGTTAGTTCTATGTGCGTTCTGTGAATAAAAAGAAAAAAATACTTTCAAATAAATTGGAAGAGATCCAGTTGTTTCCAGAGTGTTTGTGCTTGTTTTCATGGGGGTGATGCCTGATTTGTAGGCTGTTCTCCTAAGCTGATTTTTATATAACTTTTTCAATGTTTCAGAAGATGCTGCTCCACAAGCTGTAAGTAAGACTCCTCCGAAGATGTCTTCTGAAACAGATAAACGTGTGGGACCTCGGTTGTTGCTGATCCCAGTGCATCAAACGTCTCCTGCTTTGCGACCGCTGAACAACGCACAGCTTGGTCAGCGGCAGAGGATGGTTCTTCAGCCTCTCAGGAGCCCTGGTGGTGTGAACTTGTTCAGGCATCCTAACGGGCAGATAATTCAGCTTGTCCCTCTGCAGCAGGTTCGAGCTGCAGGTGCCCAGCCCAGCGTGCAGCCGGTGATGTTCCGCAATCCAGGTACAACGTCCAGTGTTTCTTGACCGATGTGTTACCTAGAAATTAACAGTGTAATAAATGTGCCTCTGATGCTTCTTTACCCTGCTGGAAGTAATTTTACAGAGTCTAATTTGGTTCTGCCTGAGTAGTTTATTACATCTAAATAATTACAGTGTGTTCTTCAACTTAAATACCACGTCTCTAAAATACAGAAAGTGCAATTAGTAGCTAAGTCACCAGAATTTGGGAGTTCTGAGCAGCAAGTAAAAGGGTCTCTGTGTGGCAAAGGAGTCACGTTCATTGTACTGTCATAACTTAAATTCTGTTCATCATTCAATAGATGAATTCAATAATAAATAATTGAAATAAAAAATTCAAAATCATTCTTGGAGATTTTTTTAAAAAGAATGAGCTGTTAGCTGTGTCTCCTTGGGTGAGCTGCTCTGTTTTGGTTTGTTTTGCAGGTTTTTTAGGCTTTTACAGCAGATACTCAGTTAAAATGTTAAACTACACTGCAAAATTGCTGGGTTATTTTTCCTTAATGTGTGAGAAGAAAAGGTTTGATTTTCAGCTCTTTATTTGATAGTTGAGGACAGGGTTGGAAGAGTTAGAGATTGCAGGTATCTTACAGCAAATCGATAGGATGCTTGTTGAGCATGCTATGGTATAGGTATTGTTAATAAAACATGTTTGTGAACAAAACATACGTAAGTGCATGTTTACTTCCCAGTAGGGTTTTTCTTCTGTTCTCCTTTTATAAAGAAGCATCTTGAGGAGAGGGAGGCAGGGTGCTACTGAAAAGAGAGAGGGGAGAGCAAGAACAGCAGATGACAAAACTGGGGGGAGGAGAGAAAATGGTCCTGTGCCTTAGTTGAGGTTTGAGCATGAGATGTAGTAAAGAATCAAAAAGTTCATTGAATTCCTTTATGGTTTGGGGCTTTTGCTGTACAAGAGAAACTAGTTGCCAGTGGTGGTATCTTTCCTCCTTGTTTATGGAGTTTTGAAATGGCCTAGAAGACTTCATTAAGGTAAAAGAGATTGTGGTATAATTGTGTAATCTCGTCATAGTTTTTCTCTGTGGAAGCTCTTTCTGAGGGGGGAAAAAAGGATATTTAAATAGAATACTCTTTTTTTTTTTTCCCCTTGAGAAAATCCCCGTTTTCCTGTTTTCCTATAAATGGGAAAGATACCTAAATGTAATGCCTTTATTGATTAAAAAGCTTAATGCTAGAACTTGCCATTAAATCTTTTAGTGTTAGAATAGTAGATGTATTTTATTGGTGTGTCCCGTGTCAAAATTCAGCATTTTCTATGTCTTTATGCAGTACCGGCTCTTTCACTGAGAACTTGCGGTCAAATACCCGATTGCATTGTGATCCCTGAAAGTGCTGGCTGCTTCTGGTACAGCATCAAATACTAAAGCTAAAAGAAAGAAAATGCTTTAAGGAACTGTTAGTTGATGTTTTGTTTTCCTCACAGGATCTGTTGTAGGAATCCGGTTGCCTGCACCTTCTAAGCCTCCTGAGTCACCTGTGTCGCCCACTCCCTCTGTGTCTTCCACTTCTCCTGCCACAAATCCAGCTGTACAAACTGCAGTACCAAAGTCATCCCCTACATCTAACGTAACCACTCAAGCGTCTTCTCTTCTTCCTTCAGTAACAAGTTTTGTGTCACAGGCCGGCACTCTGACTCTGAGAATCTCTCCTCCAGCTGCTAGCAGCGTGACAAATCAAACGGCCTCTGAACCTAAAATAACCTGCAGCTCAGGTGGTCTGCCAGCTACCACTGCTAATATCATACCTTTCCAATCTGGTAGCTTTGCTTTACTTCAGCTCCCAGGACAGAAAACTGTGCCAAACTCCATTCTTCACCATTTTGCATCTCTTCAGCTGAAGAAGGATTACAGGAAAATATGCAAGAAAGAGGACGTGGGTGCTGCACAGCAGAAAGAGAATGGGAAGGCTTCGCACTCAGATGACACTGAAGTTACAGAGTCTGAGGTCACAGTGTCAGATAAGAAAAAAGAAGAAAATGAATTGTCAGTTAACCAGTCCAGTACTGTTGAAGAGTCAGGATCTGGCACAGTGGCACCTGATGGAAATTCCTCTACATTAGAGACGGTGGAGAAGGACTCAAAGGTGCTGGAGAGCTCATGTGATGACAGCTGCTCTTCTCAGCACGATGTTTCCGCAGATGTCGTATCATCCGACCATTCGTACATCAGTGAGAAGCCAAACGATGAGGAAGAGAAAGAGGCCTCCGAGGAGAAAAAGGATTCTGTCAGTTCTGAAACTGTAGTGGAGGCTGTTTCAACGAACTGTGAAACTGTTTGTGGGTCATCAGATGAGTCTCTGGTTGCTTCTGTGAATAATGAACATCCACAGAGCCTCAAGATTCAAGAGGCTGCACAGCTGAAGAACCATGAGAAGAAACAAATACACGCTGAACAGGAAGAGAAACCAGTAAAAGAGCAGGAAGGAGGTGGACAGACACAGATGAAGGAGGATGACAAGGCAAGTTCTGGGCAGTTACAGAGTCAACAAGAGCAAGATACACAGCTGGAAATCAAGGAGCAGAGAGGGACTGAACCGTCTCAGAACATACAAGAATGCCAGGATGATACTGTGCAGCCACATGTGGAAAGGAAGGAGTTCAAGGGCTCTACAGAAGCAGAAGGCGTAAGAGAGGAAAAAGGGAGTAAGTCTGAAATCAGTTCTGCAGAAGAGCAAGATAAGGCTTCAGGAGAAGAGCATACAGTCAGTACTGAGGAAGGAAAAGCAAACATAGCTGGGCAGGAAGGCAGTAACAACAAAGAACAAGATGCTTGTGATTCTCAGGAAGAAATGAAAACAGGTCATGATATCGTGACACACGTCAACAGCTCTTGGAGTAAAATATCTAGCATTGTACCTGCTTTAGAAAATAAAAGTGAGGTGGATAACAAAGCTGATACACTTGAGAAAAGCGACTTCCTGCCGCCAGAACAGAGGGCACAGGAACCCAGGCACCAGAAAAAGGATTATGTGCCAACTGTTGACATAACTGCTGATGATATGGAAGAGGAAGAAGAGGAGGAGGATGACGAGGATGATGATGATGAAAAAACTGATGATTCGGCTGATGAGATGCTGGATGGTGCTTCTGACTTCCCAAGTGAAGAGGAAGTAGATGTTGAAAAAGTGGTAAGCATTTAACTATTTATGAAGGGATTTTACTTTGTTTAAATGGCCAACTAACCGGTCACAACCCATGGATTTAAAAGACCCTGTACGATGGTTGTGTTCTGGACTTCAGTCTCTTTAGTTAATCTAGATCTGGGTTCAAAATACAATTTATTTCTTCTTAGCTGCATGCTTTTTTATAGGTAGCATTGTAGTGGCCTTTTAGGAAGTGTCCATTTTTCAGATGGTGGGGGCATATTGAGCAAGCTGTAATAGAACTGTTGCATGTTGTCTTCCTCCAGTATTTACTCAAGCAACTCAGTTCCTTGTTATATGACCTGTGATGCTAAATTGTAGTACCCAGAGTAGTATTTCTGTCATTATAAGATATTTCTTTCTACTTAGATTTATTACTAAAGTTCAGGAGGAATTTAGGGAGAGATTCAAACATCCCTTCCAGAAATAATTGTTAACTAAGGGCTATAAAAATGAAGTAGAACGTGAAAGCTGTCATTCCATATTTGATAGAAAAATTGTTCCAGAAGTCACAGAATAAGGGGAAAACATTGTGGTTAGTGTAGTTAAGATATATTTAGATTTTAACACTCATAGCATTTCCATCAGATCTCACATGTAACTCCTTGATGCACTGTTTATGTATCAGTACTTAAGAAACAGTGCATTGTTACTTAAAATTTAGGAAGTCGTGGTTTTGTGAGTCAGTGAAATGGACATAAGAAATAAGGTAGCCATTTCTTGGGATGAGATAGAAGTGGGAATAGAGAGGTTAAACTGGAGAAGAACTGAAGAGCAAACAGCCATAGGAGAGATGATGCTAGTGTCTTCAGGAATTTGAAAGTCTGTCATTCTTTTAGGCCTTTTGTGTTAATGTAATCCTCTTGCACTTGAAAACCAATGTAGACTTCTTTTTCTTGTCACCATATCCAGAGTAACTCAATTAAGTCAGCAACTCTGGCTTCCAAAGAATCTATGTAACTTCCAGAAGAGTTAACTAACCAGATTGTATTCCAGCTCACCATTCTCAGGCAAGATGATAGCATCTGAGCTGCGTGAAGGTGAGGAAACTAAAAGCAGATGTGATTTTGGGGAGTTCTTTCAAGCTGAAAACAGAGCTGTTGCTATCTTGTCTTGAGTTGGATGGTGACAGTCCTTCAGTAAGTTCAGCAGAGTTACCATCAGGTTTTGAGAGCCATGGGTAATTCGTGCCAGCTGCCCCATAAACTTTCCAGACAAGGCAGTCTTGGGAATCTCTTGGTAAGCCAACAGGTAATGTAACGTCTGGGTCACAGAGTAGCCTCTTAACAGAGTCGATGTTTTAGAGATGTATTTTCTTTTGTCCTGCAAAAAGATAATGAAACAAAAAAGTAATTATCAGAGACTGTAAGAAATGTTTGTTTTGGAACAAACTTACCAGGCAGGTTTTGACTGGTGTGGTTTTGGTAAGCCCTGCGTACGGATATGTGTTCAGCATGTGATCACACAAACATGAGTGAGGTAGCTTTGGTTCTAGAGCAGTAAAGCTGAGGAATTAGGTCCGAGAGGACTATAAAAACCTGTCTGGAATTTGTGGGGGTTTGTTAGTCTGTGCTGCCTGCAGGTTAAGTCCGCATGTTGATGCCTGATGAAAAAAGAGTGCACTCTTCTGTCAGCGTAGTGCTTACGAGACAGGCTGTACTGGTATTTTTTGCCAGACTGGACGAAGTCAGATCATATTAACAGACCACTAGAGGATGTTTATCTGTTTCATTAAGCTAGTGGAAACATAGAAGCAAAGTGTACACACATGTCCACTAATACTTTCGTTCAGTGGAAATACTGATGACAGCTCTTTCACTACTAGTTTGGAATATGGACTGGTTTCACTTAGTCAGGGAATATCCATCAAAACCCTGGGAAACTCGAGTGAGAGGGTGATTACTGCTTACCTGTAGTAGCTATTATGTGTCTGGTGTGGTGCATTTCCCCACACTGGTTCTCATTGCAGTAATGACTTCATTGTTCTTAATTCTGCACATCAATGCTCTTCGGGATGCCTTCTTATCTGGTGCTAACTTTGTGTACTTAGCTCAAGAGACTCTCACAGACTCCTCCTTTCCTCAACAAAAAGAGAGAAGCTTCCTGAGGTGGTATCTTTCCCCTTTTGCATTTCCCTGAATTGCATCAAGGGAAGCTCAGGAGGGTTGTTTGTCTTGGGTCTGGTGACATGAATAAAACCTGCAGATGTCTCTCTTAGCAAACTAATCAATGTCAGGACCTTGTGTCTGAAAACATTCCAGTGTGGTGGTCTGGGAGGTGATGTTAAACTCATGATCTCCAAGCCATGATAGTTGCACATTAAAGTCTTGTTGAGAATGACTGCTTGGGCTGGTCTGTCACAGACTGTGTATGTGAATTGTTCACATGAGTGCTTGTTGCCTTAAGCCAAACCCTGCTGGGGTTCTTCTGGTGTTTAAATGCTACAGAGAGTCCCATGGTCCCACTTAACTTACTGGTGTAATGACAGCTTCTCTCTCTGGTGGGTTATTTTATTTTAAATGCTCCTCTGTGTTTTGCACTTGTTTGTTTTCTGAGCTGAACATAATGACAAGCAACTCTTGGAATTATTACAGCACTGCAAGTTTAATAAGAAGTGCAAGTGACGTATTTTTGGATGATTTCAGTTGTAACAATCTCTCACGCGTTCTGAGCTTTTGGTACAGACCATGCATGAAGTCTGCAGAGACAGAAATCTGTAGTGTAGCAGGCAGATCCAGAAATGAGGTAGTTCAACTATGTTGTCATGAAATGTGACCTGTTAAAATTGCGTAACCTTGTACCTCTTGCACATTCAATATTTCTGACATCATGGCGTGTATCTGTTCAGTAGTTCTGTAGTTTAAATAGTGTCTCTGCTTGAATAGCTTTTGTTCAGCCTTTTTGTTTTTCCCCTCTGGCTTTATGGGGCTTTTCCTTCTCTCATCAGGGCCTGGGGAGGATTTAAAAAAGGCTGTGAAAGCATCTATGCTGTGTGTTTAGATCACTTGTAGCTCAACAGAAGGGCTGCGTCTGGGGAGATGGTGTAATTTTGGTATCTTCCAACTTATTCTCTTTTGCTTTCCCTTCCCTTTGCTCTTAGCAGTTAGTAGGCTTTAATTTCACATTCAAGCTTATGTTGATCTCTTCAGCTGAGGAATTCTTGGAATTTCAGCGCTCTGGGTCTTGCAGTGCATCCTCAGTTCACTCTGTGGACCCTGGCATAGCAATCTGCAGTTGTTTTTATTTTCCTGCCTTTCTGTGACCTTGCGCAAATGATCAGTCTCTGCTTTTGAATAGGGGAGCTACTGAATTGACTTAAAGGCAACTTGGATGCATCTGCTGTCTTAAGAACAAAATGTCTTGATTTAAAAAAATAATGCATCCAAAAAGTTGTTCTGTTCATTAAAGCAGGATCTTCTCAAAGTCTGTAACGAGTCAAGAAAGTGTGAGGAGGACTTGTTGAAAAATTGCTGGCTCTTTGCAGAAGTGATATTCTTCAAGTGAGATTTGATACAGTAGAACTTAAAGATTTCTTAAAGCCACCTGACTTGAAACAAAGCTGTGTACTGTTCACAGGCAGCGGTTGAAAGTTGATGAAGTACTTATGCTGAAATGCAGTGTAGTCTTGGTCACTGTTTCTGTAGCCCCTGCTTTTATGTTCTGGATCTACACTGTGAGCAGTTTTTGACTGGACCTCACCAAGGTCCCAGGGATGTGGTGTCTCCTGACTTTCATTCTCTTGCTGTTTTGGGGAGTAGGGGTGATGTGGAGCCCCTGAACAGCCTGTCACGTTCAAAGTGTTGCACATTCTCTTGCTGTTTTGGGGAGTAGGGGTGACGTGGAGCCCCCGACCAGCCTGACATGTTCAAAGTGTTGCGCTGCTTCCTTGGTAAAGACAGCTCCTTTTCTCTGTGCTCTGCCTGATCACAGTGTTAACAGGTCTAGTGTTGCAGGAGAATGTTTACAAGATGGAACAAGTAAGGATTTTATGGGCTTTCGTGCACAAGCAGAATTTCCTTAAGTTCCTGCCAGTGCTAGTGCCATATCTTCAAAGTCAGATGAGAATTTGTTTTACCTCCATGCTGCTTTTTATACTTAGAACAAGAACTAGCAAGGTAGAATACAGATTCATAGCTGCTCTGAAGGAAAGCTGCAAGAAACCCCAGATGTTAGTAGTAATAATAGAATAACTTACTGATCTCCTTTCCAAATACAGAGCTCAGCAGAGATCAGAGTTGCTTTCCTGGGCACAAAAGAATGGTGTCTCTAAAGTCAGCACGTGTTAGAAATGTCTTTGACAGAGAGAGCGAGATTGTTCTCCAAGGCTGGTAGTTTCTCATCTGAGGTCACTTGCCTTGCTCGCTCTTTTTCAAAAGACCTGACTTTTTACAAGCACAGAGAGAGTAGATAACGTGGGAGTGTGCTTAACAAATAACATGGGAATGTGCACAGCAACGTGTAGAAGTAAGGATGCTTTTCTGTTGAGATCTAGCAGCTATAGCTGATAACCTGAGCATTGCTTTTCTTTGTTTCAGCAGTTATATCTTGATACTTCATAGTACAGGAAGAGGTGTCAGCTTCTCTGCAAGTGAGTAGTTTAGACGTTTATACCTCTTTTTACACAGTCTATAGTATCAGCACTTTGTAGGACCACAGAATCACACAGAATCCCAGAACATTAGGGATTGGAAGGGACCTCCAAAGCTCATCCAGTCCAATCCCCCTGCCGGAGCAGGAACACCCAGATGAGGTTACACAGGAAGGCGTCCAGGCGGGTTTTGAATGTCTGCAGAGAAGGAGACGCCACAACCTCTCTGGGCAGCCTGGGCCAGTGCTCTGTCACCCTCACTGAGAAGAAGTTTCTTCTCCAATTTCAGTGGACCCACCTGTGTTCCAGTTTGTGTCCGTTACCCCTTGTCCTATCATTGTTTGTCACCGAGAAGAGCCTGGCTCCATCCTCGTGACACTCACCCTTTAAATATTTATAAACATGAATGAGGTCTCCCCTCAGTCTCCTCTTCTGCAAACTAAAGACCACTCAGGATGTGAACAGAAGGGATGGAAGACGTGGGAATACTTGAGTGGTTTTTCAGAGGAAGATGCTGCGTGGTTTTGTTGTTCTTAAGACTGGAAAATTCTGCAGGCAGTGTTGCAGATGTAAAAGATATGTAGTATACACACACTCTAGTTTATACACCCTTTTATATGTGTGTATATATAAAAATATAGACACGTACTCTCACTAAATATTTTACTAGAGGCTGGATTGCTACAAGGTGTATGTTGCTATACTTTACAAAGGTTATATCCCCAGTGTAGCTTTTAGTAAAGGAGAGCAAACTTGCTTATTTTCTATCACACTACTTTTGTTTTCAGTTTTCTGTAACCTTGATCACATAGCCACGGGAGAAGATGTATTACACAGGGTTTGAAAAATACTGGTAATTTTCTCTAGCAGCATGATCCAGGGTGGTGGCCACTCTGTGCTATCCGTAACTAAAATTGTAGTTCTTATGTTGATCTTTAAATTTTAGGTAGCCCTGCTATGAGCTGTGGGATTTGGGGTCGTGTGTTTCTTCTTTTGTTGGTTTAGGAAAGGCTGTGTTTAGTCAGCCTGAAGAAGACCCTATCAAACACTAGGTTATTAGAGATCCCGCTTCTCTGTCAAAAAGGCAATTATCAGCTAAGATTTACTGTCTGGTTGATATTGAGTCCCTTTAAAACTAACCTGCAGATTTCACAGGTGTAGATTTCATGACTGATGATTGGAAACGTGCATCCTTAACCCCTTGTTAGTTATACTGGTATGCTCATAAGTAGGCTGCTCTTGTTTATTTTCATTCTAGTGCTGTATACAGCCCGATCTGTGGTTGGCTGAGTAACTGCAATGTTTTCTCCTTTCTAATCAGAGTTTCTTAAAACAGCAGCATGAGTTGCAGGTAACTTTAAATAATGAGTATTACAAAAAGCATTTATTAGAGGCCAGTTGCTGATCCAGTATTGCACGTTGCCTTTTTTTTTCCTGTTCTGCACTTGGTGTTTTTTGTGATTAACTGTTTGCATCACTTTCAGGTAAGTATTCAGTTCAGAGAAGGAGATTGCAGGTCCTCAAAAAGAGAGAAAGAAAAAGAAAAAGAAAACAGTGGACAAAGAGAAGGAAGGAAAGACAGAAGAGGAGAATAGGAGGAGGACAAGATTGTGTTAGTCCAGGGAACTGGATGGAATAGAGTACAGGATGGAAGTATGATTACATTTTCTTAAGGAGGATAAACAGTTCTGCAATCTGTAAGCAGATCAAGTATTATAATATACAAAACTTCAATAAAGACTAATAGAAAAAATTATTTGAATAAGGCTTGTTTTGCTGGGGAGGAGGAATTACCTGGTACTACAAATGGCCACTAGATTGATACTTAATTCTTGCAGTTGCTACAGCACTGCAGTTGTTCTGTCTGTCTTTACAGATGGTAGCAAGTTTTCTTGGTCGGGCAAGCATGGAGGAAAAGTAGTCTTCAGAATATCATAAATATTTAAAAGAATTATGGGGCAGCATTTCAGAAAGAGCCAAAATCATACTGTTCATCATGTAAGCAGTTACTGTATGGCCCAAAGAAGGCTGTTGTATGATGTTCTGGCTTGCTCTTTTAGGTGTGAGAGACCATTATCAAAGTGATAACTATCTCAACTACTGTCAAATGTTTGTTAGCGAGACAGCAGTAGGTTGTAAAGGCAGCTTAATCTTACTTGAAAATGGAGGCAGGAAAGCTCTGCCCTGTGAAAACTTTTTTCTCTCAGCTAACATAAAAGCATAAATGACAGAGATGGGTTTTGCCCTTACCAAAATTAATTTTGCAGAGTTGCTAGTGGGAGGAATTCATCGAGGTGACAGTTAAAATAACCACCTGCTTAGCACTGTTTATTGGCCAGCGTAGCTGGAGATGTTGGTTCTGTAATGGTTCTTAATGTTATAATGTAATCTCTTTTGAGACTGAAGTGAAACTGTTTTGGCCTGAGCTCTATTGCTAAGTAGATACTCATTTTAAAAAACAAAACAAAAACTGTTCCAGGATGCGTGTGAATACAGTGAGGATGACGAGCAGCAGGTGGACATTGAGACCGTGGACGAGCTTTCAGAGAAGATTAACATTGCCCGTCTGAAGGCCACAGCTGCTTATATCCGACCTTCCAGACAGAAGTAAGCATCCTTGGAGAGCACTACAGTTTGGTATTTTACCGATGGGCTGGCATTGAATGAACCCATTAAACGACAGGTTTAATGTGATGGTAAGATAAAGCAAGGCTTGTGCCAGGCCTTCCTGGGCACTGGTGGTCCCCAGTGTCTGTGAGGACGGGGCTGTCAGAACTAAGAGTAGATTCAAGGTGTCTTAGCTTTTTTTTTTTTTGCTGTTGTTTTTTCCCCTCCTCTTTAATTTCTTCACGGGGATGTGTATCTTGTAATGTAAAACTGTTATGAGTGAATTGCCTCCCTTCCTGCAAATGGAATAGAGCAGGGCCATCTTTGTTTTAAATGTGATTTTGCAAGCTTTCTTTACTCTTGCTGGTGGACTCGTTATTTCCAGGCAGGAGCAGTCATTGTCTTAATCCCTGATCCTGTAAATGAAACCTTTGTCTTTGAGACCATTGCTCCAGCAAAGAAAGTATTTTCCTATTTACATACAGGCTTTACATGGTTAGCTTGGCGCTTTTTTTTGGTTGCTTTTCTTCTGGGGTTTTTTGTTTGTTTTTATTATTGTTTCTGCCCTTGCATTTACAATGGCAAAATGCAAAGTGAAAGCATGGCTTACTGGAGGTATGTAAAGATCGTCATGAATATCTCTCAGTTGCACTAAACAAAAGATGGGGAACGTGTCATCCTTAGTTCTTTTTGTTTGAAGACCTTTTGTATAAACGTTGAAAAATCTGTTTGGAGGTATTCTATACCTCCTAAATGGTTCCTATTTTTCTCCTTATGAGATAAAGCTCAACTTTTGTCCTTTGATGGTATCTTCGCTATAAATTGTGAAGATCTTTCAGTGAGAGAGAAAAGCAGACGTCATGTTTTGTAAAAAATAACTCTTTCAAACGTGTATTGTTCTTTGTTTTCTTGAAGCTCCTGAGATACGAGGAAGCTGCTGTTATTTATTAGGATAGTAATAACTGTGAGGATTTTGATTGGTGGGGGAGGGATTGCTCTGTCATCTGTATTGCATCCGTGTTTTTTCAAAAAGGAACCAAAACGTTCTGCAGCTGACAGTCGTGGGCTGAATTTATTCTCATTGGCATATAGTGAAATAGTTTGTCTTTTGCACTATGGGGTAAGTCCGCAGCTTTCAGAACAGCTCAATTTTTTTCCTGGATGATGGCATCGGAGATAGAGTTCACTTTATGGAGAAAGCTCAACAGTATCCTTCTTTCATACAGTTATACAAGAAAAAGTTAATTTCAGGGGATAAAAATGAGCAATTTTAGGCTGTTGGAATGTAGTTAATGAGGATAGAGTGCATGAGATGAGTAGCGTTGGGAAAAACTTTTTACCTTTCTTCCAGATACCATGCTCGTAATTCTTCGGATGAAAAAATAACAGAAAAACGTGCGAAGGTATATGCTTGCTCTCCTCTTTCCTTTTGGTATCACGCCTCCATTTTAAAGATAAACTTTCATCTCAAGTGAAACTCCTAATGCGATTTATCTGCTTCCATTTAGTTACGATTAAATACAAGAAACCAAATGTGCATATGGGGGGGAAGGGGTTCAGTCCTAATATCAGTAAAGAAAAAGGACTGCTACTGGCATCAGCGGGTTTCAGGTTCAGCTTTATGTATGGGAGGAATATCTGCATTTATTTATTAGTACATTTGCTTAGGTTTTGTGTTCTTGGCATAAACCATGTTTACAGCACATGTAAGGTAATGAACAACTGAGAAATATTTTCATGTGTTGAAGACATTATATGGGATTATGTAGGCATGGCACTGGGCAAAGGATTTACGGAAGCAATAGTTTAAATATTATGTATTTAGGCAAGTTAAAGATAATGCAGAATCCTTTCAAACTAAACTCATTGCAATCCTTCTGAAGCTTGTGCTGAATTTTAAGGTGGCTTTGAAGCCACTTTCACTAACTGTCCACGATAACTATCTGTGATGTACTTGATGTCAGGTCTAGAGCTACCTGCTGGGGTGAAGTGGGGCTTTACAGTGGGGTGTGAGCCTGGTGTATGTCTTACACATTAGAGCAGGCTGGTACGTATGCTTTTTCCCGAGATGGAGATGGGTTCTAGGATGCTCTTCCTGCCTCGCCTTCTCCAGGTATTCTTCTCTCTGCCCTTGAAGTCGTGGCATGAGGCCCTTCCTTGAAAGCAACGTCATGCCCAACAGGAGCAGATGCAGTTGTAGCCTTACTGTGCTCAGTCTGCGTACGAGGTCAAAATGGGTGTCAAGAGCCAGGTTTCAGGAGACAGCCTTCAGTTTCCTCTTAAGGCCAGCAGGCTCAGAAATAGCATTGCTGGACCCGAGGAGTCTCTCCACTGATTCACTGGGCTTTGGAGTACACCTAAAATGATGTAGAAAATGTGTTAATACTGGCATTACTTCATCATGAAATAGATGGCATAGTTGTACAAAACCTGTAAGAGCAGTGATGAAATAACAAACCTTCAGACCTGTACGGATCAGTAATTATGCTTATTGCCTTTTTGGTAACTTAAGCAAATTCAAAATCAGAGCCTGGTTTTGACACTTCCTGGTTCTTGGTAGATGTCTGGGGTGATAAGTTTTAATGCCGTCTTTCACATTCCTACCTACAGTGTCTCTTGGCCCAAACCCATATGTACCCATGAAACAAAATAGAAATAAAAGTAGTTCAAGTCCAGGAAAAATTCCAGTGTCTTGTATTTGATGCGTTAGTTACATTCAGCAGCAGACTTTTAGCAAACAACAAAAAAGATTTGGCTCAAACGTGTGGTTTTTTGCTGTAAATCTGCGGTTTCTTAAGTGGCCTTGTTTTGCAAAAAAGGAAAGCTTATGAATAGGAGGGACTGCTCATGATCTTTTCCTTTAGGGTTGATGTGATTATGTTGGTCATTTCTTGTTGGTCAGCATTTCATGCTTATTGCGAGCGCTTCTGACACTGAACTTTCATGAAGACATAATAGCATGACATGAAATCTTCAGGTGTCTGTAGAAACCTTGTAAATCAAGCATACCTTTGAAGTTTATTCCATTACCTTACCTGTTTTGTTTAAACTGGTCAATATGGTTACTTCTCCAGCAGAAACGTCAGTTCTGGAAGAGAAGGATGAAGTCTGAGGCAGAAGCCTTTGCTCATTACCGCCAGACACACACAGCAAACGAACGCCGGCGACGTAATGAAATGAGAGACCTCTTTGAAAAGCTGAAGGAAGCTCTGGGGTTACACAACCTGCCCAAGGTCTCCAAATGCTACATCCTCAAGCAAGTAAGTATTTTGAAGCTTTAAGAGAATCATTTAATCTGGACAGAGTAACTAAACTGGAATGAGCTCTTTTGAGTGATTCCCAGTGATGCTGTGAATGGAGAACTTGTCACCTTTACAGGACGCGCTAGAATAAAACAACATTGGAAAGAATCTGTATTCCTGAAATATTACTCTTGATGGCACAGATGCATGTTGTCAGATTAGCCTTCTCCTTGCTGTATTCCTTGTGAGTTCAACCATGGAAGGTTATGTCTTAATTCCTTTGTGGCTTACTGTGTACATCAGGCAATTTGGAAATACATTGAAGACTTACTTTTTGAATGCAGGAGAAGATAGCATTTTATTAAGTATTATACTGACGTTAAAAACTTACTTGTAAAGATGACAGGAAACAAAGCGTAAGTTGTACTTGCACAATTATGCTTATCAGCTGTACCTCAAAACTGGGGGATAAAAGTTGATTTTCTTTTTTTTTGTTTTCTTTAAAATAGCTGAACTTTGGAGGAAGGATGTCCAAGATGTTTACTGCTTTTCAGCTTGCCTTTAGGGAAAACTGCCATTACGTGGTACTTCACACGCTTTCTCTGAGTTCTAGTTTCTCAAGATGATGAAAATGTCTCAATAAATTTTATGAAGGTTTCTGGGAAGGAAAATAATTATTTTATTATTTTGTGTATCGTTGGTTTATAAATCAGTGCCCTGACACTTTTCTAGGCCTATGAAGAAATTCAAGGATTGACTGATCAAGCAGATAAACTTAGTGGCCAGAAGAACTTGCTGACACGCAAACAAGATATTTTGATTCGAAAAGTATCCACGCTTTCAGGTGAGACTGTTTTTGGATACAGACTAGCTCCAATAATGAAAGAAAGGGTTTTTAAGAGTTGGGACTGAGTGGAGTAATCCTCTGCTGGTCCAGGTGAGTCATTAGTTCACATAAAATGTAGACTCTTGACGGCTAAGCTCTGACTCAGCGATGCACTCATGCTGATAAGAACTCCTTTTGTTTTCTTTGATGCCTGAAGGAAGTGTAGAATCATCTCCGTGCTGCAAGCCACAGGCTTGGGTTCCTGTGCATTGGGAACGCTTTAGTGTGGGGGCGGGGTGGAAAGTCACTTCATTCTCTCATCAGTCACTTCCTGAAACAGCTTTTCTGCTCAGTGCTTCACAAGCATCCCAGCTGTCTTCGATCAGTACCAAAACCTGTGACTCCTCTGGTCAACTTTCCAAATAACTGTCCTTGTTTGCTTTTGGGAGAACTGGTGCTAGGAGTGTCTAAAAGGTGGCAGCTCTGTCCACAGAACAGAATTGCAGTACATTCTGAGCTGCTACTCATGTAGGCGTTTCAAGACAAAACCATGTTGTATTTATGGTGTGTCTGTCTCACTTGGAGGTGTGAGAAAGCTGTGACACGTGTTCAGCCAGTGTCAAAATGTGTGTGAACAAACAAGCCAGTAAATTCTTCTTATAACTTTCTTACTGCCTGAGAATAAAACCAGGAGACTACCTGTAAAGTAGAAATGAACGATACTTCAATGTTGTGTATTTACGTGAATCGGTTCATGTATATTTGAGGTCCTTGGTAAAAAAACAATAACAACAAAAACAAAAAAGTGCTTTAGTGAACATTCATCTCAATCAGAAGATGTATGATAAGCTTTTTGGGCAGGGAATGGAAGCAAGTAACTCCACAAGGTAGTTTTCTGATCTTTTGCATTCTTAGTGAAGTACCTCAAAACTGATGAGGAAAAAAGATCTTCTCAGGAGAGTTAGTGAAATACAGACGTAATTCAGCAGAGACCGTGATGTCAGAACATAAATGATAAGCAGGAAACAAGCCAGTATAGTTATTTCAACTTTGATCATCTTAAATTGTGTGCGTCTGCAGAAAACAAATTCTTTATAAAATCTGCGTCTGTTCAAGGTTACAATTTTCCTGTCAGTGGCAAGCTGTATGTGAGTTTGTCTAAATGTTGTTTCAGTAGCAGGGTTCTTCAGTACAAGAGATTTCATGCCAGTTCAAGGTAACTTTTTATCTGGTGTGTTTTTAAGTATGCTGTTTACTCGCTGGGGGTGGTGGTGATCTGTTGTACAGTAGTTGAATGGTGTCAACGCAATAGGTTTTTAGTTCTGTCTTAAGCTCATTAGTTTTGGAAAGAGAGTTTGAAGATTGGTTGACTCTGATAATTTTTCTATAGGGAAGACAGAAGAGGTTGTCCTGAAGAAGCTGGAATATATCTATGCCAAACAAAAAGCAGTAGAAGCACAAAAAAAGAAAGAACCACCTGAGCCAGAGCAACCTCTTGTAACCCCAACTGGTAGCAAACAGCAAGAAGAGTCTTCCGCTTCCTCCAGAGAGCTGGTCCAGTTGCCCATGACAAACAAAAGAGGAAAGCCACTGATACTCGCCAGAAAAGCACTCCGTCCCAAAGGTAGGCTAAAAGCAATGCAGATTTTGCATAAAGCAGAGCCAGACATTGAAACAGCACCCCACGGGAGGGCAAAATGCTAGCCTACTTGTGCAGGAAACTTGTTTCTTGAAGCCGAATTGAGTGTAGAACCAGAAAGTGTCCCTCTAATAGGTGTGGGAACCATTTGTTTTCAGTAAGGATGAGACCAGCACCTCTGAGGTCTTCAGACAAACGTGACTTCAGTTTCAGAATGGTGGGAAGTAAATTCCTATTAGGTTGTCTTTTGATCTCGTGGAGTTTCACTGCAATCCTGCAGTAATTTCTGAGAGTCAAAAGTGGTTCTTTTTCTGCCGATGCAGTTTTTAAACCATCCCTCCCCAAACAAGCTGGCTCTCAGGGTGCTGGAAGAGTTGCTCTCACATGACAGAATTGTCAGACATTTGAGAATGCTTTTTGAGCTGAGAATGTGTGGAGAAGCGTTTGGTGATTATGAAGACTTTTGCACCCTGCATGTAGGAAGGAGCAAAGGAATGGCAGAAATAGAAACTTTCATGGTAGTGCCACTGTAATATCCTGTAAGGATCTGGTGATGTTTCTTATTTTGGTAATAATAAATGGTCCTTACTTGAAGTGCTCTTGGGCTTTTACAAACAATCAGTCATTCTGGTTTCTCAAGCCTCATTTTTATTCAGTCCTGGGGAAATTTGGCATCAGAATTTGGATGTGGTGGGAGAACTTTGTTTCTTTCTTTAGACTGAACAAGTCCCCTTTGTAATTTCAGCAAGACTGCTCTGATAGTCGATCAGGGTGCCACTCTGGAGAGTTAGGATTGTTACACTGTATGAAGAGACAGTGCAGACTGGCCCTGGCTGTGTAGGTGAGGTTCCTGGAGCCTGCACAGCTTCTGTAGCAGCTTTTGAATCTAGGGCTTATAAACCTAGCTGGAATTCCTTCTGCTACTGTACTTACCACTGGATCACAGGGCATCATTTGCCATCAAGGGTGCTATCCCAGAGTAAATTACAGATGTACATCTTTCTTTTTTGGCAGAAGACACCTCCTCCCCTCTTACACTAACTGCTGCAAACCTAGTGATGACTCCACAGGGGCAGGTGCTGACACTGAAGAGCCCGCTGGTACCAGGGCCCGTCACAGCTGTTCCTTCCACACTGTTGCAAGCTGAGTTAAAGCCTCAGGCTGTCGGTACTACAATGACAGCGCAGCCAGGTATGATCATATGAGAACACGTTAATGACAATCAGGATAATGCTGTTCATAGATGTGCACAGCAGTTTATAAAGTAACACGTTACTTAATTTCAGTTTTTAATTTTTATTAAAATTATTACAAATTAACTGACTGAGGTAGAACCTGACTCTCCTAAAATATATTTGATATAATTAACTCAAACTATCAGTTTATCAACAGGTAAGTAAAATCTGTTAAATTTTTCACTATTCCTAAATCAAGGAAACATAGGGAAGACTTTGTAATCACCTAAGTGGTCTGTATTTTTGGTTTTTACCACTTTCAGATGGTATTACAGTGTAGAAAGTCTTGCCTAGAAGTGCAAGGCTAATATTTTCCAGGCTTAATTGAGTACTAGAGTTGAGTATCTGAAAGGCTCTTATTTCCACCTCACCCTCCCTTCCGTTTTTCTTGGATAAGGTATTGCTTCTGTGATGATTCAGCTGCCAGGATCAACAGTTCCTGTCCAAGTTAAAGGAATCCTTACTAACTCTAGCATTCCCATTACACTGTCAACTGTTGCTGGAAACCCAGTGCCCTCAACAGTAGGATCAGCTGCGCAACTCCGTTCAGGTAGGGGCTTTGTTTTTTATGGATCTTTTTGCTTGCACATGAGGAATATTATCCTTGCAAAAATAAAGGTAAATTGCTTCCTTACTAGGAAGGTGTATAGGTATAGGTATTATTGTCTGGGTATTTAAAGAAAATCACTATTAAGCGTTTTGAACAGTTTAGAGGGGCCTCTAGGGGATTGTAGGTGAGAGCATTTTAACTTCCCTTCACCTCACTGAGTCTCCTTGGCCTGGGCAAAATCAGAGTAAGTGGCGACTGAAGTGCATCCTACTGGGGAAGTTACAGTGCAAAGCAGTGGTGGGGCTATTGAAAATCTTTGCCTCTTACATCCAGGCTCTGTCTCTGGTACAGCCCCGTCCCATCTTCCGCCAGCTCTGCTGCCCATTGGAGAGATATTTTTCAAGACTGCACTGTACATTGGGTCTAGGCATGGCGTGGTTCCTGCCTGTAGTGTGCTGCTTGCTGTCTGTTGTGTTAAAAGCAAGCCACTTGCTTTCTGCTTCATTGTGGTCATTTGGTCATAATGAAAAAGGAAAATTCACTTCAGGTTTGGGGCCGGGAAAAATGTGAGTGCTATAAATAGGGAACTGCTTAGATGCAAAAAGTAAGTAATTGCATGTTCCTGAAATGTATCTCTGGTATTGTGCACAAAACCAGTATTCCAAAATGTCGGTGTAAAAGTAAAGCGTGAAAAAACAGTGGGGGAGAAAATGGTCACTCTGTTCTCCTTGTGCATCGCCATCGGAATTACAGGCATTGCAGTTACTTGAATTTGTGCTAGCCTGCTGAAGGACAAGTGGTTTTAGGATAATAGATATGGAGCTTGCTCTTGTTCTACAAGTTGAAAGTTAAGCTATTAATGTGTTAAGGCTTCACTTGACCAAAACTGTGTAAGCAGTTTAAATTGTGAAGAGCAGCTTACTTAAGAAAGACCTCAAAGTAAGCAAATTATATTTAATTAGGAATTATCTTGCAGTTAGCATGGATCCTGATGGATGCTGCTTTGTTTGGTTTTGCAGAAAGCGAAGATTCATTCATGATGCCAAAGATCGTTAATGTAACATCACTGGCTACTGAGGGACCCATGAGTCTTGCCCCTACTAGAAACAAAAGATGTAATAGAACAACAGCCGTGAGGAGTCGGGCTGCTGGGAAATCCTTGGTTGGAGCACCCCTTGAAAGCAGGAGTAGCGATGGCATCCTTTCAGAAGAAAAAGCCGAGCCATGTCCTGGAGACAGTGGTGGAGATGGAATAAACACCACAGGCCCCACAGAAGTTTTATTTGAAAATAAAGATGCCTTTCCACAGCTGCGGAACGTATCGTGTACAAAGGAACCTCCAGAGTCCTTGAGCAAAAAGCTCTGCGTTGGTGAGTTTGTAGGAAGTCAAGCCAGGAGGAAAGACGGTGATCATGGAGGGGAAGGACTAAAATCTAAAGAACTGCCGTTCCGTAAACTGCAGATCAAAGATTCCAGGATAGAAATGGAATTGAGGAAAGTAGCGTCTGCAATGGAGGAAGCAGAACTGGATCCAAGTGACTTACTGAGCAGCATTGAGGAGAGCGATGACACTGATGAAACCCTCACTTCACTGCTTAATGAGATTGCCTTCCTCAACCAGCAATTGAACGATGATGCTTCAGCTATGTCAGAGCTGCCCAGCACTCTAAACTCGGATTTCTCTCATGAAGATGCAGGAGCTCGTCGGGGAGCAGCCGGTGATCTTACTGCTGCAGATGGGTCTTCCTTCCAGTTTGGCCATTTGGGAGGCAGCTTTAAGGACCTTTCTGAAGGTCCGGAGGATGGTGGCTCTATAAGCCCTCTCCTGCTGCAGCTGGAAGATGATGACCTCACTGACGGGGAGAAGAACTCTGGGGAGCCTTCATCTGAAGCAGATGTTCTAAAGATAGTAATAGGTGCTGAAATGAAGGATCCACTTCCCAATCTGTCCGCAACCAGTGGTGGGAATGGCAAAACCATAACAACCCTGGCAGAGACTGCTAATGTGACTCCACCAGTTCTGCAGATGAAAATGAATCCAGAAGCCAGTAATGCTGACACTCTCTGGAGGCCCATGCCCAAGTTGGCACCGCTTGGCTTAAAAGTGGCAAGTCTGCCAGCGGACTCGGAAGGGCAGGGTAACAAAGTGATGCCCTTACTGGCACCTGTAGTTGCAAAACTGGCACCCAGTGGGGTAAAAACTTCATTACCTACAAGTGTTCAAGAAGGGCAGGATAACAAAGCGATGCCCTTATTGGCACCTGTGGTTGCAAAATTGAACACTACTGGGACCTTGCCTTCAAATTCAGCAGGCAAATAAATGCGTATATTTTTTTATCGGAGACTGGAATGGAGATTTGGAGCAGTGTGAGCCAGTGTCAGAGTTCGGCGACCTCCCCTGTCTGCAGCATTTGTTTTCTGTGTGACATCAGCAGCACTCTGTTCATCTGAGGGCAGGCCCCACATTGAGAAATAAGTGCTATGAAATTTTAAGCATGCTACCATATTTTTACCTCACTATTGAATTCTGGGTGTTCTCCTTCACAAAATAAGGAAGATGATCTGTAACCATTGCTGGGCACATGGTATCCTTCCAAAATTGGGTCCTTCACAGAAATCGTTTGTCAAAGGACTGAGAAAACTTGGCTATTGAAAGAGATTTTCCCCCTGCCCCTCTCTCCCCTGCCCCTCACCAGTAGGGAGGCAGCTGTCTTGGTGGGGAACTTGTTTTTGTACCGGGTAAATTATCTATGCAGAAATGGGATTGTTCGCATTTGCTGTTTTTAATGTGTGCAGAATACGATGATGTGCAGGAAGGAGATTGCAGTTATCTCAGACTTGTTACCTAGAGCAGCGGAAAGGAAATCTGAGACTGTGCAGAGGGCTGAAGTGAAGAGTTTTTGTTCGTTGGTGCTAGATAGGTCTCTGGCAGAGACTCTTTAGCAGCGTATGCACAGAAGTTTTTAATAAACATCCCTAACTCTCACTACGTGGGGAAGAAAATTCTGTTTCCTAGTGTAATTAGGTCAGTATGTTAACTTACATAAAACTACTAAAAAAAACCCCTCACTTTTGCCTCCTGCCCCTGTAGAAATACTCCCTCCTTTAATGGTTAGGGCATTTCTTGAAGGAAATATTACAGGGAGTAGAAATAAATTTGGGCAGCCTATTGCTACATCTTTAAATACATTTCTGAAGTAGCTCGAGTGCTTTCCCAGTACTTATTTTCTTCCCTCCTGTTGTTCTTCAAGATGTTTGGTGGCTACGAATGTTAATAGGAAGTGCTGCTTCATAGAAACACAGAACGCTTTGAGCACTGTTGTAGCCTAGCGTAAATGAGTGAGGTGTATATGTGAATGTATATATGAAAATATGTGTATATCTTTCCAACCCTTCCATTTCTTTATATATTCAGGAAAGGTACTCAGAGGTTTCTCACCGCGTTTGCACAAGCTGTGTATAGCAAAAAATAAAAAGTCAACAAAAAATGCGCATTACCAGGGAAATAGGGCAGTATTGAATCACAAGATGTATTTTTTATTCTTCTCTGCCACTGCTTACTCAGTAACCTGTAGATACTCTTCACGGTTCAGCTGTTGGATGTGAAGTGTCTACGGACTGTAAAGATATTTATATTTTTGTACACAGTTTTTGTTTTCCTAGTTTTCTTGACAAAGGAAATTTTCAGCCTAGGAGAGATGATTTGTTAATGACTGTATACACAATCTTTTCCTATCAAGTTTGTAAATACGAATTGCAGTGCGCTTGAGGGGCTTCTTAACTGCTCCAAAAAGGAAAAAAAACCGTTGCCATGAAAATTACACAGAATTTGGTGGTGCTTCTTGCTTTCTGGTTAGGAACGTAATCCCCCGTCTTACTGTTTCAGCAAGAGCAGCTGAGATTTCCCCCCTGACATTCTCCATCCTTGGTGATGCAGCAGTGCAGGGACTGCATCTTTCCAGCACTGAGGCTGCGCAGGTGTTGAGTGGTGTCTGCAGTCGGGGAGCAGTGTGGTACCTGGTGCAGCCGTACTCCTGCGCAGGAAGCTGCCTCGGCTGGATCTGTGTCCTGGGTAGATCTACCAGGGGATCCTCATCCCTTGCGTGTTTTCCTTGTCCTTTTTATGATTGTGTATCTTGCTGCAGAGGAGAGAAGCCCTTCAAGCTTGGTATGCATAAAGTTACTCCAGAGCCTACCTAAAAAAGGTTCTTCCCCTGGCCATTCCAAATGCTGTGTTTTAAAGCAGTTACACCTTTTATTTCCCTTTGCATATTTACTATTTTAACGATACAAGTCCTGTATTAGTGATCTGGAAAAGAGAATATAATATAGGTCAGTGTAAGAGTCGTTACAGTTGTTGCTGAATGCCTTAGAAAAGGCAATATGAGTAAGTATCCACACATAGACTGCCTGCTGTTAAAGAATTTTAACATTTTAAACCAGTGGCAATCTGGAGTAACTAAATCAGTTCAGTAGCGTTGTATCAGACTGGAATTGATTTACCTGGGGATGTGGTTCTGAGCATTTCCAATAGGCTGAAGTAGGGTTCTTACCCATGCCATAGGTTCTTACCTGTGGCAGTTTGTTTTGCCAGTAGATTTCATTCCTCCTGTGCATAAAACAGCGACCAGAGCTGTCCTGTGATTCCTTTCACTGACCTTTCTTTCTGCACCTCAGCTTTTCAGGGGTCCAAATGGCCAATTTTAATGGCAGAATTCTGTGCTAATCGGCACTTGTAAGAGGTGTGTGTGCTTTGCACACTTCTGTGGGACAAAGCTGTACCATGAAAACTATTCAGACGTTATCTGAAAGAAATGCTGTGCTTTTGAGGATGTTTTGTCTATTATCAAGGTAATGGAAAATGCCTGGATGTGTTTACTGTTTGGCACTGGGCAGTAAGGAATTTTACTGCACTAAAAACGTACTGTGTAAAGACGACAGCAAAAATTTCTGGTTCCTGAACACGATTACTAAATTAACTAAGAACAGACCCCAAATTTGGCTGCAAGAAGTGGTAGTTGGTGCAGTTCCAGGAAGTATCTGTGATGGATTCTACCAGGCAACAAAGCATGTTTGAAATGCTCTTAGTTTTTGCTCTCCTTGTTCCACTGTCTCATGTCTGCAGCTTAATACTTTGCTATGAATTTAGATGGTGACTTTTTTTGCTCTTCCCTCAAGCTCCCATTGGTTTGGAACAAACCTTTTAAAAATTATATATGCTGTCTTTTGAGGCAATAAGGCAAGAATATGGCAAGTAATGGAAAGGTTTTAGAATCAGGAGAACAAAGGAAACCCCTGCAAGGCGCACATTTCTCACTAGAACAAGAGACCTGGAGATTTTGTTTGTTTTTTACACATCTGTAAATAGACTGGAATGTTTTTAAGAATATAATGAAATGTCAGATTTAGCTTTTTTTTCCCCTTTTATATATTAAAATATATCTTTCCCTCTTTTCTGCTTTTGACAAATGGATATTTTTGTAGAAATCTAACAGTACCGGACTCTTAAATAACTGTATGTGAGGGACAAAGTGTAAAACGAAAATAAACCAATTGAGGTCGACTAGAAAACTGGCTTTGGAAGTTTGTTACAGGGAGGGAGAGGGAGCAGAAACGATGTGGTGGTGTGCTGGTGGTGACACGTGGCATTGGGCCTGGGCTGATGACACACGTGTGTGCTCCGAGACAGAAGGAAGAGGCTTTAATTTCGCCAAAATACATCTTGAGCAGGAAGCCAGTGGGGTTAGGATTCGATCATGGCATAAGAAGGAAAAAAACAACCAACCAAACCAAAAGCAAAACAAGGAGCAGTTGAAGATAAGCCCACATAAAATCCTTTTCCCTCAACCCCAGACTTAGGTTAATCCTTTGTATCGGTTTCCCGTAGAGTTGTACAACACAGCTGTCTTTATGGGAACAGGTCGGAAGATCTGTCTCCAAGTGGAGCGTCAGGGGATGCTTTTTTAGAAGAAACAGATAAAATGCCTGTAACAAGTCGCCATCTGTCACTTCCATATCCATTTGATGGAAGATAACACACTTGTGAGATGTTGGTTGGTTTGTTTTAAAGTACAGAATGTCTACAAATGAGTAAGTTTGACATACAAACCTGAGGCAAGAAAATACAATGAAGACAACAGTTATGCATGGGGGTAAGTGATGGAGAAGATGATGATCAGGTCTCACAAGAGAGAATGAATAAAAATGGGTGATACGTGATCTGTTGAAACCCTTCAGCAAGGCCTCATTCCCTGACTCTGTATTTTATGGGATAAAGTTACTTCTTGGAATAGAAAGGAACATAAGTGTAAGGTATATCCAGTCAGGCTTGCAATGGAAAGAACTTCTTAATAGAGTCCCATGATGATCTGTGCTGGGGACTCATGTTTTCCAGCATGCTCCTTGTGTTCTTGGAAAGACAGGTGATTGTACAAATAAGCTCAGTTGACGAGCTGACTATGAAAAGTTACTGGGAGCCTCTGCAACAACCGATTTAAGGCCAGACTTGAGTCCATAAATGCAATCCAACAATGTGCAGAGGGCTGGTTTGTCCATAATTAGCAACAAATGGAGTATAAATTAATTACTGTCATTTGGAATCATCGTAGTGGAGGAGTTGTGGCCCTGTGATCACTTAAACTCAGTGCATCATCTATTTGGCCTTTTAACTGCTGCTGCAGACCACAACGGCGTTGTTACACCACCGTACACTTGACTGTTCCTGGGCATTTGAATTCTGTGCTGCCTCAGCCAGCACCTTTGTTGTCTGTCCTGGGAGCTGGGGAGGCCCATGACAGGCGGCAGCTCTTCTGGAGGACCTCCCTCTTCATTTTAAAACAGAATTTTACCCTTAGAAAGATTGAAGTCGCCACTTGTCCGAGAGTCTTTTCTGACGAGGAGGAAAGCCGCGGTCTGTCCTTGCTGGCTGCCTGGGCCTCACCGGGCCTTCACCCCGGGTTTGCAGCCGCACAACCTCCCGCACCCCAGTGAGGCGTCTGGGACCTGTGGTTATGTCTGTTCGTAATCCGCTTAATGCATCCACCCCACCCGTCTGGAGGGTCCAATCTTCATGAGGGCCATCTGTGAATGCCCCTGCCTTCCCCCTGCCCTGGTCCAGCGCGGCTGCTCTCCAACGGCCCCTTGCTGCCAGCAGGATTCCTGTGATGCCAAGCACGGGCTTTTCTGGGTGCTTTTTGACTTCGTTCTTCCCTCTGGCGGCCGCAGCGCCGAGGGCCGCAGGGCAGGGTTCCCGCCGGCCGCGGGGCCCTGTAGTTCCCCCGCCCGACACGCAGAGGTGCCCCTCGGCAGCGCGCTGTGCCT